GGCTGCCACTTCGGCGTCGCGCCTGGGCGGCTGGCCTGGTCGCGGCGCCCCTGGCGAGCCGCGCGCTAGGCTTGGGCCCGCCCTCCTCAATCGAGACCTGAAGCTTCGCATTCCCTATCATCCTTCTCCTTATACTTCTTCTTCTTCTTCGACCTCGCTCTCCTGTCCTTCTGCGCCGGCGTCTTGCGCTTGGCGCTCGCAGGAGTGGCCGAGGTCCGTGCCGCCTGTCTGACGGGCTCGCCATGGCGTGCTTCCTCCTCCTTGCTCTTCTCGTCCGTGCCCTTGTGCTCCCTGACCTTATGCCCCTCAACCTTCTGTTTCTTCCTCCTGTGCTCGTTAATTGCTCCTCTGTGTGTTCAACAGATGCTCGTCCGTCGCGGGCCGCCTGTCGCGCCTGGGAAGGCGCTCGGCCGCCCCCTGGTCCTCGTCGGAATCTTCGTGCTCGTCGTCGCACGCGTCGTCGGAGCTGTCACTGACGATGCTAGCGAGGGTCGCGGGAAGGGGGCCCGCGCCCGCGCGCCAACATGGCCCAGAAAGCGCTGCGTCAACAACGTCAGTCGGCTCACGCATGGAGGATACGCTGCCGCGCTCCGCGTGTCTCGCACGCCTGAGCTGAAGCACAACTGCCCCGCAGAATGTCGCCCCGGCGCGCCGGTGTTGACAACCTTCGGCGTGGGCCGCCGCGATGGCGAATTCCCCCTTTTGGCCTGGGCCTGGGGCCATTGCCACCTTTTCCTGTCCTTCCTCGGCCCTGTCTTTGTCAACGCGGAACAATTTAATCGCGCCCTCTTGCTGGGCGTCCGCCAGGTCGGTCTCCTCGCGCGCGCCCGCGAGCTCGTGGGGCGATTCGTCCTGGGCCGGCCGACCCTTTGGGTGGCCCTCTCTGCCTCCCGCGCCTCTCTTAAGAAGCTGCCCTTGCGAATGGGGCACCGCGATCGGAGAGAGATGCCTTCCGTCGATGTCGGGCAGCGGCCGCGATGGCCTCGGAACTGGCCGCCCTGCTCGCTGCGCCCCGCGCTATGGCAAGAACCCCCCAGACTGGAGGATCCTCCGACCTTGTCGTCTGTGGGAGGGTCCCTGTTCTTGCCTTTGCCGTTCTTTCCCTTCCTTTTTTCCCTTAGGATTGCCGCTCATGGGGGGCTCTCGCGAGCGAGCCGGTGTCCGCCAGCACGGCCCCTTTCGGCAGACCACCTGCTGGGTGTGCCGCCCCACCTCGCGCTTCAAGTCGTCGTGCGCGTCCAACCGCCCGATGTTCAAATCGATGTGGTCCTGGAGCTCAGCGGGGCGCATGCTACACAGGCGCACGCGCCGCGTCCTGTCGGACAGCTCTTCTCCTGTCCTGTCCTTGCTGTGGGTGTAATCCCCCCCCAATGCTCGATCGCAGACAGCCGCTGGTCCGTCCCGACCTGGTGCGGCCTCAGCCTCAGGTTGGACACGGGGTTGTTCGGATCCTACTTTCGGCTGAGCTTCCGCCAGGCGTCGAACCCCTGGTTCTTCTGTTCTTGACGATGTTGAAGGCTGCCGTGCCCATCGTTGTCAGGCTCGTCAACACCGCGGCGAGCTGTCCATTGATATCCTTCGCCGCAGCACGACTTCGTCCAGCTTCCCCTGGGTCGCCACTTCCTAGCCGAGGCCAGCCGCCCATTCGGGTACGTCGTCGCCGTTAGCAAATTGCCCGTTGACCCACGTCGCGAACTTAAAACTCCAGCCAGGCCAGTCGGCCTCCTTGCCGGAGAAAGGTGCAGGCTGCCTGTCGGCCTTCATGTCAATCATCCCCTGCCTTCTGCGCACAACGATCTCCAGGAAATTCTCCTGCTGCTGGAGCGCGGCCTGAACAGCGTCGCCTTGCTCCCCAACCTGCGCGCCCGCCTTGCTCCCCAACCTGCGCGCCCACAGCACGCAACGCCTCATTCGTCCATTCCTGCGTTTGCCGCAGCGTGTCGGCCAGCTATGTGATGGCTTGCATCACCTGCTGCTCGTTCATCGTGTCTGCCATCGCGTCGCCTGACGCACTGGAGCGTTAGCCCCCGCCAGCGCACTCAGAACAGCCTCGCCATCGCCGTTGGCGGGTGTCGCGTTCCGCTACCATGGATTTTTCTCTGAACGGTAAAACGGCAGCGGACGTGTGGGATCTCGACACTAACAACCGCGACAATGCCTACAGTTTCGCAAGTCGCAGTCCACCAGGGATGGCGAGGTCTAATTTGCGTCTGCGCTCGGTATCCCCTACGCAGGCCCTCCCAGCAGCCCTCGAAATCTGCGCTGGGTACTCACTGCGGTGGCCCTCCCAGCAGCCCTCGAATGTGGCGACCGTTTCTTCGCAACCTCCCAGGGACGGCGAGGTCTAATTTGAATCTGCGCTCGGTGCCCACTACGCTGACCCTTCCAGCAACCCTCGAAACTGGTAATCGTGTCGCAGCTCGCCGCCCACCAGGGATAGCGAGGTCCAACTTGACTCTGCATTCGGTACCCACTACGCCCTCCCAACAGCCGTCGAACGTGGCGACCGTTTCGCAGCTCACAGCATACCAGGGATGGCGAGCACAATAACAAGACACGTAGGAAGTAGGAGACAGGCGAAGAAGAGAGGAAGGAAGAGAGGAGGTGGGGGGGAAGGAGGTGTACGGCCGCAGTGCTCTGTTCAGAACGAGAACCCAACACATGAAGGTCGGGACAAAAAGGGGGGAAAACGAGGGCAGGGCAACAACATCGGTACCTTGCCTGTACGTCGCGGAACACTTGCGTCATCGCGAAAAATCAAGACTGGAACCATGGGCCCTATCTTTCGGGACCCCTCTTCGAGCAAGATCGACATGTGGTCCTTGGGCCAGGAACCGGGCAAACACGCCCCGTGTGTACAAATGTGCAAAATCTCGTATCGATCGGTATCTTCTCCTCCTCTGCCAGGGTAACGGTACGGCGAGGGCATTGGATAAATCCGTGGATAAGAAAGCCAGGGTCTGGAGGCCAGTGGAACTCCAGTCGTGGATTGGCCATGGACATTGCTACCGCCATTATCCGATAAGGACGCCTCCGGGGTCTGAAACCCTCTGGGCACGTTTCTTGGACAACGCCCCCTCTATACGGGTGCGGCAGGTTCGTGCTGTGCCCACCTGCGCGTTGGTGTCTGACACCGCGCAGATCGTGAAACTGTGAACGGTCGGCGGCTTTCGGGGATGGACAGACCCCCCTTTAGTAAAACGTGGTTTACTGAAAACGACGTCGAGCCCAAACCTGGCGGGCGCAAGCCTGGAAAATAACGGCCGCGGCGCCCTCTCGAGAACCGAAAACGGACAATTCACTAATCGACGTGTCACTGTTGGGGGTTCTGTCCACCCCCGAGGCTTTCCTATAGCGCGGATCCATCGATAGAGGCCGATTCTGGGCCGCTGGCGGCGCTCAACCTGGCACGCCCTCGCTGGCGTCGCCGCCGCGTCGCCTCGATGCGAGCCTGCTGTACCTTCCCCGCCTCGGAGTGCCCTCCAGGAGCAGAAAGCCCTCTGGGCACAGTGCTTCACCCCGTCTGCCTGCCGCACCGTGTCTTGGCGGCGAGCGCGGGGGGAAGCGAGAAGGGGAAGGCCTCCTCAGGAGGCGAAGGCGGCGGGACTTCTCGGAAGCGCTCCAGCCTTCTGAAAAAATTCTGCGTTTTCCGGGAAGGCTTAGACAACTCATCAGAAGGCCGGAGGACTCCCGAGCCTCCTGAGGAGGCCCGCCGCTCCTCACTTCCCCCCGGGCTCGCCCTCGACTTTCTTTCCGCCTCGGAACGCCCCCACCGCCTCTGCCCACCACACCTCTTCTGGGGCCTGGCCTTCCAGGCGACCGTGCCAGGCCGTCGTCGTCCACCGCCAGGGAGGGGGGAGGGGGAGGAGGAGGGGCAGGAGGAGGGGGAGGAGGAGAAGGAGGGGGAGGAGGAGGAGGGGGAGGAGTTGTACACGGACTCCGCCTTCGTGCATGAGGTGTGCACAAGCGTGGAGAGCGAGAGTGTTGTGGCTCCCGCGGTGCATGGTCCGAGCTGTGGCGCGCGGTGTGGACAAAGATTCACGATTGGGGCGGCCCCTCTCAGATCCGTCTCGTCAAAGTGAAGGGACACTGTACGCGTGCACGTGTGCAGCTCGGTCTCAGCAGTGAGTTTGAAAAGGCAGGCAATGATGAGGCCGACTCGTGGGCCCAGTGGTCTGCCTCTCGTGTGCAGATTGATCAGAGTTTGCGTGAGCAGGTCACTGCCAGAGCCAAGGTGTTGGCGCACTACGCTAAATGGGTGGCCCAAGTAGGGGCGTGTCTTGCCGATTTCGACTGTGAGCATGTTAAGCCTGAACTGAAGCGATCTGGTCAGTCTTCCTGTCAGCCCAAGCTCGTGGTTGAACCGCCCCCGCCTGTCACCACCCCACGCCCCCTCCTGCGTGCAGATGCTGCGCACGCGCGTGTAGTTGCAGCAGATGGGCGCAGGCACCTCGTGCATCCCTTTCAGCTCCAGGAGGGCACCTGGTGCGTCGTGTGTGCAGTGTGTGGGCTTGGAGGTCGCAAAGTCTCAGCCAAGCTGTCTCAGCAGTGCGATGGACCCCCTGCGGCTTCCTCCCACGGCGCGCGCGTGTTGGCTAACCTCGCGCGCGCGCCTGCACGATACAGTCTCAATAAGAAGTGGCACCTGCTCCGCCAGCCGTTCAGAACTGGCGATCAGGTCCGTGCGGGCGAGATTGATTCTCTCCACATTGCCTAACTCGTTTGGCTTTGTCTTTTCCGTGTTTCACCCGTGGGGTGAACGGGAGCGGGTGGTGGCGCAAGTGGTAATGGCCCCGCATCAAAGGGGAAGCGCCACCCATCCAGCTCAAAGGTGTGCGGCGAGACCCATCGTCGCGCAGGGCTGTGTCGAGGAGGAGGGGGAGGAGGAGGAGGAGGAGGAGGAGGAGGAGGAGGAGGAGGAGGAGGAGGAGAGGAGGAGGAGGAGGAGGGGGCAACAGACTCCTCCTTCTCCCCGGCCTTCTTGCCCCCCCTCGGAGTGCCTCCGCGCCAGGCCGTCGTCGGCCACCGCCACGCAGAGCGCGCCGGCCGCGGCGCGCGCGGCGGACAGCGCCGCCGCGAGCTGGAAGAGCAGGTTCCCGAGGCGCCCGCACGGCTGCACCACCACCTCGGGCGAGGGCGGCGGCGACGACGACGACCACGACGACGATGACCACGAGGGCGACGACGACGACGACGACGACGACGACGAGGATAAGGACGAGGACGAGGACGACGAAGACGAGGAAGAGGACGAGAACGAGACGAGGAGGAGGAGGAGGAACAGGAGGAGGAGGAGGACGACGACGATGACGACGACGACGACGACTGGCAGCTGATGACGACGACGGCGGCGGCGACGACAACGGCGGGATCTTTCCCCACGGCGCACGGCCGTGCTCGCTGCAGCTCTGGGGAGCTGCACGCGCTGACTTGGCGCAGGCGGCGCAGGGCGAGGAGGCGGAGGCGGGAGGGGAGGCCCTCCAGGCCCCCCCCGGGGGAGCGAGGACGTCGACCCCGACACCCGCACGGGCACCGACCACCTCCCCAGCGTCCTCGGACTGGGCTTTGCCGAAGGGTCTCTGTTTCTTCTGCGCATGGCGCCCACTGTCCCGTGGGACCCCTGGCTCCTAGGGAGAAACCCCCACCGATCCCGCAGGCACCTCGGAGGGGGGTCGCCAAGGTTTTCCGGACCCCGTGTCCCCCTACAGGGGGATTTTGGGCGAAAAGTTCGCCGGCCCAACGGGCCAGAGGCGTGCTAAGATCTCCGGTAACTGGTGCACAGTATTTCTAGTTCGCGCGCGCGCCGCAATCGACTACCCCCCCTCCCGCCCCAAGAGGCCCCCAAGAGCCCCCAAAGAGGCCCTGGGGCCCCCCAAGACGCCGCCAAGGAGCCCCAAGAGACTCCCAAGAGGTCCCCAAGAGGCCCCCAAGAGGCCCTAACGAGGGCGCCAGGGCCAGCGGAATGAGCGAAGCGATTAAATAACAAATAATCAAAAAATGCCCCCCATGGTCAAAAAATATACACAAAAAATAGCCCCCAGACTATATTTGGACTATTTGGGAATGTTCCTCCCGTGAAGAGGGACGGGCCCGACTTAGCCCTGGCCGCCAGGACGCAGCCAGCCGCCCGCGACTGGCCGCCCAGCGCCTCGGGCAGCACCGCCCCGAGTGCGGACCCGTTGCGGATGCGCGCCCAGCAGGCGGCCCCGCTGCAGGGCCGCGGCCCTCTCCGCGCCGCCGCCCCCCCCCCCCCTCCAAGCCTGCCGCTCCCCCTCCTCCTCCTCCTCCGCGTAAGTTGAAGTCGGGCGTGTCCCCCTGTAGAAGGATTTTCGACGAAAAATAAAACATACTCCAGATTTCGTAATAAAGGGAGGGGGGTCTCATTTCGGGGGGGGTCTCTTCCAGGCTATCTTGGAGGGCCTGGGGGGGTCTGGGGACGATGTTTTTGGAGGGTTCTCCCACGGGGGAGGTCTGAAATGGCTTGTCTTGGAGGGTCCAGACCCCCTCCCTTTTATTACGAAATCTGGAGTACTCAAAACATCTCCCAAAATGGTCAAAAAATGCAAGACTATTTTTTTTTATACCTATTTTAGGATATTATTCCCCCTGTAGAGGGACAGGCCCGACTTGAGCGCAAGTGCGCGGATCGGCTCTCCCGACCCGGAAACGGCCAGGGCGACCTGCGCGACCAGGGCGACCAGGGCGACCGGGGCGACCACCTCCTCCTCCTCCGCTCCCGCCCCGTCGCCCCCCCCCTCCCCCCCCCCTCCCCGCCTCTCGGGTCGGGCGAAAGGGGGGGATAGCAAAGGGGGGGGCTGAGAACCAGCTCACGCAGGGTGATTTCCCCGGCGCCTCCCGGCGCCGGCCGCGGCTGTGTATCGGGGCATGGGCCCCTCGGTGAGGCCGAAACCAGCTGCATGCAGCAAATTTCGTACCCCCCCAGGAGGAGGAGGAGGAGGAGGAGGAGGAGGAGGAGGAGGAGGAGGAGGAGGAGGAGGAGGAGGAGGAGGAGGAGGAGGAGGAGGAGGAGGAGGAGGAGGAGGAGGAGGAGGAGGAGGAGGAGGAGGAGGAGGAGGAGGAGGAGGAGGAGGAGGAGGAGGAGGAGGAGGGAGGAGGAGGAGGAGGAGGAGGAGAGGAGGAGGAGGAGGAGGAGGGAGGAGGAGGAGGAGGAGGAGGAGGAGGAGGAGGAGGAGGAGGAGGAGGAGGAGGAGGGAGGAGGAGGAGGAGGAGGAGGAGGAGAGGAGGAGGAGGAGGGAGGAGGAGGAGGAGGAGGAGGAAGGGGGAGGAGGTTTCCCATTCCCCCCCCTTTCGTCCGGCCCGAGCCTCCCCCCCCCCGAGGCTCCCGCAGCCGCGGCGGGGCGCGGCGGCCAGAGCACGACCAGCGGCAGCAGCAGGGAGCCCAGGCGGGCCCCCCCGCGCGCGCGCATCCATCGGGGGGGGCGCCGCGGGCCGCCTATAGGGGTGGTGGTGGCTGTGGCGGCGGCGAGGTCCCGGCCCTCCAGCGTCACGTGAGGTCGCTGGGTAAGGAATGGGAACGGGAGTGGTCAAATCGCGAAGCGAAAGAATTAGTGAAGGAGGGATGCGGCCTCTGCAGGCTCGTTGCTCCGACAACGACAAAAGCTTTGGCCAGAGCCCATCCTCGATCCTGTTTAAAACATCTTGACGTGAGGTCGCTGGATTAAGGGACCCCTGGATGAGGAATCCAGTGTCTGCAAGCTGGCAGCACACCGATGGAGGCCTGGCTGGCCCTGGGCAGCACGGCATCCTCCAGGGTCCGGAAGCATCCCGACCTTCCCAGGGCCACCTTGCCGCAGAAATGTAAAAGGCACCGGTCCCGAAACGCAGGACACGAGAGCGCCATTGGCTTGGCAGGGTCGACCTACAAATCGGTCTCGAATGAACTTGTCTGGGCCTCTGGAGGCTCTTGGGCTTGGGGGTCGTCCACAAAGCAGTCTGGGCTGATGAGAAGGTCTCCAGGTTGGGGTCGAGATTGTGGGGGCCAGCGCCGCAAACAGGCAATGACGCCAGAAGTCTTGGGTCCGCCCCTCCGCTCGGCTGCGAAGCGGCATGCGGAGCTCTGAATAGCTGGAGTTTGTCAGGCGGGGGGAAGGATGTCAAAGTGAGGGAGGACTGAGGTGGGGCGAGAGGAGGAGGAGGAGAAGGAGGAGGAGGAGGAGGAGGAAAGGGAGGAGGGGAGGAGGAGGAGGAGGAGGAGGAGGAGGAGGAGAAAGAGGAGGAGGGAGGAGGAGGAGGAGGAGGAGGAGGAGGAGGAGGAGGAGGAGGAGGAGGAGGAGGAGGAGGAGGAGAGGAGAGGAGGAGGAGGAGGAGGAGGAGGAGGAGGAGGAGGAAGGAGAAGCACATCGGAGGCGGGTCCCTGTTCTGGGCAAGAGAATTGGGCCTCTGCGAAAGATATGCATGGGGGCCCCTTGCACTTAGCAAGGGCCTGTCTGGGGCGCCCCCCGTGTGGCCGTGGGGGCGGGGCCCGCTGCAGGAAGGTCGAACGGAGCCCTGCTCGGACAAGAACAGAGGGGCCCCCCCTGGCACGCGCGGGCGGGGCGAGGGGTGGGGGGCCAAGGCAAGGGGCGACGACGACGACGACGACGACGACGACGACGACGACGACGACGACGCTCGCGTGAAGGACGATGGGGGGGGGGGAGGGGAGGGCGGCGGGGCGGCCGCGGTGCGGGACAGCCTTGAAGTCGACGGGGGCGGCGCGTCGCACTCTCCCGCCCGCCCTCTCCCGCCTCGTCGCCGCCGCCGCCGCCGCGCTGCCGGGAGCTCCCCCCGAAGACCCCCTCAGCGGCGACGCCCAAAAACCCCCTCTTCCTCCTCCGCCTCCTCTTCCTCCTCCGCCTCGAGCCCAGTGGTTCTGGCGTAGAGCTGGTCCGTAATCAGAGCGTCGCCCACGTTCTGTCTGACGGCGTGGGTCTTTGTGATGTCATCCGTAAACGCGTTGATGGACTCGTCGCGCGCCTCTAGAGAGATCGGGTTGGTCGCGACACGCAGCTGCTGGTCTGGGTGAATGTATTTATCTTGCTCTCTCCACTTCTCCACGTGAAGGTTTTGCCCGTTATTGAGTCGGCGTGAGCAGAGGGCGAAGCCCATCGGTGCCCCTTGCGCGATGTGGCCGTGGGCCCATCCATCTGCGCATTCCATGCTCATGCGGGTGTAGTTGATGGCCGAGATAGCAAACGGCTGGTCGGCTTCCGCCAATGTCGCCCATGCCGGTGCCTGTAGTTGTGGTCGCTTGGTGCTGGCAAAGGCGCTCGTGCCGTCGTAGTTGGCGCGGGCCAGACTGACCGCTGTTTCCCTTGCCCTCCATTGCGTGGCAGACAGGCAGAGCCTTCCTGGGCCCAGCAAGGATGCGAGGGGGCCTTGGCTCTCGCATTCATGCCTTTCTGCCAGCTCGTCCCCGTCGAGCAATGCGCATGCATGGCCCGCTCGTCGGCTACTCCTGCCTGCTCATTGCGCTTCTCTGCTGCGAACGAAAGCGGCCTATGCCAATCCAGCGGAGAAGCCAGATCCCTTCTGCACTTGTACCGTATATCACCCAACCTGGTCCAGAAGAGGTAGGGCGCGCCTTCTCTCTTGGTCGGCGGTGCCCCTAGCGCTGCTCCTGCGGGGCGTTCCAGGTGGTGCAACGCGGTGTCACATGCTGCGAGAGCTCTCCCGTCGTCTGGCATCCGTGTTTCCCCCAACATGGTCCCAACTTCCCATCCAGTCTTCTGAAGCAGGTTCCGCCGTTTCCTGTAACGAAGGAGAGTACTGTGCATTGCCATCTCTTCCTCGTCGTGTCTCCTCTCCGCCTCTCGTGTTGTCATCTCCTCGGGTTTCTCGCCAAGCTCCTCAGGGTGTTCGAAATGGACAGAAGTGTCGAGGGCAAACCATATCAGCTCCACTGGCACTTCCTGGGGGGGGTCTGCCCGTATTTTCTTCGATTTCCTGAACTAGCTTGTCTCCCTCCATAGACACGTGGGTTTCTATCGAGTCTGCCAGTGGCACTATGTCCGTATAATCTTCCTCGTGATCCGTCTGGTACTGTGTAGTGTCCACTGCCTCTGCTACCAGGCCCCCTCTTGCGGTGGTCTGCTCAGCCTGTGTAGCCACTCTGGGCAATCCCACCGCGTCCGCGCAGAATGGTACTACCGTTTGTTGGTCCCCTACCGTTGCGTTGGTACTCGATCCGTAGTCGGTGCATCTCACTGCGATCGTTGTCTTCGCATGCTCTCCAGATGTTTTCTACTATCCTCGACCTCCGCTGGTCTCTTTCCTTCCTCAGCACCGCAGCCTCAATCGCAAGGTCTTCACGTACTCCGTCGTGCTGCTGTTATGTCTCCATAGCCATCGTCCTCCGCCTCGGTAGCCCCCTCCCCTCGAGTAGTTGAGCTCTCCTCTTCTTTCGTGCGATCACCCCCTCGTCCTCCTCTCTCCCCTTCCCCGGGAGTCCCTCCTCCATTGCCTCTCTTCCTGCGGCTGACCGCACCAGCCGCGGCTTGTCGGGCGCAGCTGCAGCCAGCCTCTCCGCCCACATCTCCTGAGATACCGGGCTGAGCTTGCTTCCTCGCAAGCCTCGGGGAGCTCCGCTCTGCGACGGCCCGTCGCGAGGCACTCCAGCAGCGCGTCTCTGTCCACCCCCCATCCCTTGCTGCAGGATAGGGGAGGGAGGGGGGCGCCGGCGAGGTCCCGGTGACAAGCTTGCACCCACTGGGACGTGGCCCCTGCGCCCTCTACTCCTTATCAACTCTGGACGCTTGGCCGCCCCTCGCAACGTTACGCATGGTTTCGCCAGCGGGAGGGCCGTGGTCGGCACTGCGACACGGTCGGTAGTCGTGGCAGTTCCTTTGGGGCTTTATTCTATAGGGCTAGTGTCGTGGTAGGTCGTAGCCATGGCCAAGCCACTGTGGCAGCAGGAATCTCCGAACCAAAAACGCCATACCGGTCTCATTCTTGATCTCCTCCTCTCTGCTCCTCCCTCTGCTCCTCTATGAAGACGAAATTGAATTCGCATCTCCCCCCGCCAATATGGTAGAACGGCTTGCAACGTTGCCTAGTCCTTCCCCCGCCCATTCCACGATGTTTGAAGATATCGTCCCGTGCCGTTTGTAGTCGGCGGGAGGAAGATCGGTGTCGAGGGTCGTGAAGTCGAACTGTCTCGTGACCAGTCTGATACCTGCCGCTCTCCCTCGGAAGCTCATGGGGGGTTAAGAAGATGGTGTGCAGTGCTCTCGCTTCAATGTCGTGGCTAACCAAGAAGCAGGTGCCGCATGCCTTGGATGCCAACGGCCCCTTCTTTCCTCCCATCTTTAGCCCCCCGTGGTATCTCGTGTAAGCGGTCTGTGCCGCCTCAGCCAGTGCCCCTTTGTGTGTTCCTGACGCTACGCTCGCATCCCGAATCTTGAGTTCGGTGCTTATGTTTTCCAGTCTCTCTGCCGAACTGGCAGAGAGAGGGTTGTATAATACAATGCGCATAAGGCAAGGGACACGTGCGCGGCTAACTGCCATCATCGCCCCTGCCTCCTCCCTGGCCCTTGCCGAATGCAGGGGCCGAGAATTGTGAGGACATGCTGGTGAAGAGTCCTCGCGTCGGGTGCCTTGGCCTAAACTTCAACGCCCACTAGGCGGATGAGGAGGAGGAGGACGCGGGGACGCGTAGCGCAACACTGTCGCTCCGCGACCGCGGGCGGCGGGCGGCGGGCCCCCCCGCGGCCCGCGGGCCCAGGCCGCGCCAGGCCTCGTCCAGCACCTTGAGGACGAAGCCGCGATCGGCGGCCCAGTGCAGGCGGCCGCGCTACAGACAGAGGTCGGGGGCCACGCCGGCCCTCTGGGCACGCCCTCTTGGGGAGGGCTGAACTAAGGTCGGCGCAGGCCGACCACCCAGAGGGCCCGTCGCCCGACTTGTCGCAGCGGGCCTCGTTCCCGACCGAGAACACCCAGTCGAAGTAGAAATCGTACTCGCCCCGCCCCGCATCACGGTATAGATGGGCCAGGCACATCACCATGTTAGCTGTGTCCACAGGGTCGATCCGTCACGTCTCCCCCGTGCGGCGGATTAGTTACATTCCGAATCCCACCGCGCGGGGCGCCATGCCAGCTCGCACTTCTTGAGGCAAACACTCGCACATCGTGAAGTACAGGTGGTACCCGTCGAACGCGAACGCGCAGCCTGGTCCTGCCTTCCCGACCTTCTCTCACTCGAACGGGAATTCCAGTAGCACCAGGTGTAGATATCCCATTGCGATGTTCCAGTCATCTGGCGTCTACATGAACCCTGTGTTTTTTCCGCATATCGAGCAGCATGCTCATCAGTATAGCGTTGTATTTGAGCGCCAGGCTCGAACGGGAATTCCAGTAGCAACAGGTGTAGATATCCCGCTGCCCCTTCGTGAAGCACAGGTGGTACCCGTAGAACGCGAATGCGCTGCCTGGTCTTGCCTTGCGAACTACATCCAAACTTCTGCGGGTCACGCAGCAAAGCTGCGACTGACCCCTGGGCCGGGCACCGTCTGCCTCTAGGACGTGACCAGTGCCTAGACACCCAGGGGAAGTGTCACCCTTGGGTCGGGTACCGTCTGCCTCGTCCGAGGTGACCAGTGCCTAGACACCCAATGGGACCACAAACGTCCAGCAACGTGGCTAGTGAGTGCGCGTCTCTCCGTGCCGCCATCCAGGATACCATTCCACTCCACGCCCTTGAGCAGGCGAGCCAACCAACAGGTACGTGGCTGACGGCGTGGGCGGGGTCGCATGGCAGGGCTCCTTCAGCAGCTTCCCGAGGTAGCCCCGCTGTCCAGGGCTCGCTCTGCCACCGCACAGTACACAGAACCACTTCGCATCCTCGTGATTGGAAAATCATGTGGTGCGGCAGGTGGGAGAACTCGCTGCCGATCACGATGCCTCTTGTCGTGCGGGTCGAATTTTTGCAGCCTGCGCACGGTCGAGACAGCCATTGTTTGGCGATGTAGTTGGGCCCCGTCTTGGTAGCGGACTGTCTGCACCGAGTGCAGTCCCATCGCGCCAGGGTGGCCCCCTTGCTGATGTCGTGGTGGTGCTCCAGCGCGGTCTGGCTGAGGTTGAGTGGTGTCTCGGGGAGGTGGTCGTTCAGCTCGTCTGCTCTTTGCTGTCGTCTCGTGGCGTGCTGGGGTGGTCTGCATTCGAAGGCGTCACGGGTGGCCTGGCATATTCTGTCTCGAACCTTGACCGCCGTCGCCCTGATCCAGTCGTAAAGGTCGAGCTGAGCAGCACCGATCGCTTGCTCTGCCGCGGCCTGGTCGGCGAGCTGGTCTGCGATATTGTTCCCAGCCCAGGCGTGCTTGAGGACCCCCCCTGCAGAGCCTCCTCCAGCGTCAGGTGGCTCTCAATCTTGAACAAGCTGATCGTGCCATGCCTGCCGATGAGCGCTTTGTGGATGAGCTGCCATATGTCCGCGTTGGGGCCCTGGTTGAAGGGCCCCTGGTGTCGAAGGTTGCGCCAGCCCGCCACTAGTGCCGCGGAGTCGGTCCAGAAGTGGAGGTCGCCGTTGGTGCTCTTGACGCTGTTGTCCGCTCTGTTGTTGCTTTGTCTGGGGCCTGGTAGAGGGCCTCGCTTGCCTGCCGCCATCTGGCATTCGCCGTCGTCGCCCAGGCGCAGTCTGACCCGGGCCCAACCACATCGCATGTATCGGTCGTCCCCAGATCGTTTACCTCTGCTGCCGTCTCCGTAGATCACCAATGGCCCATCCCCCGTCGGCGCTAGTCTGCCTTGGTCGACCGCTTCGCCTGAGCAGGTCTCGCTTTCCTCCGTGGTGCAGGGCACTGGGCATGTCCATGGCGTGGGGGTGGGCCCCCGTAGCCAGAAGCAGGGCGCTGTGTCACTCATGCTGTCGGCTCTTCGTGTGGTGGCTGCGGAGTGCTCGTGCGCAGAGCTGTCCTTGCGGCTGCTGCAATCGCCCCAGATGCGGTGGACGTCCGTCTCGTCGCGTCCGCGCTGGCAGGTGGTGTGTCTGGCTCCTATGCTCTCCTTGCGTGCCTCAGTCCACGTGCCAGTGCAGGCCGCTGCTAGGCGAGCTCCGCGTTCTGCATGGCGTCCTTGATGGAGGAGTGAGCCCAGGCGCCGTCGTAGGTCAATGTGGTCGATGCCGTGCTCACACCCTGTGCCGTGGTAATGTCGTGCGGCTTGCTGCCAAAGTCCCCGACGTATGTGTCTCTCCAATGTATCAATCAGCTCAGTGGGGTCGCCTGCCTGCTCGTCCGCAGTAAACTCCCACGTGCTGCCGTCTGCGTCGGTCCACGAATCTGCCCGCAGCGCATCCCACCCGCAAAGCCACAGGGTCAGGATGAGGCTGCCGATGGCTCCCCGTCGTTGTTGCCATCTGTGTCGTGGTGGTGCTTCTAGAAGTCGGTGTCGTATAAGAGGCCACGCCTTCCGTATGCCCCGTCTGAGTTCTGGGTTCTTGGCCCGCATGTCGAACCACGCTCGTACTTGGCTTGTCGGCATGCTGATGGCAGGGTCGTGGCCCTCGAGGTCGAGGGGCGTGGTGAGGCACCTCCCCGCCCAATGGCGTCGCAAAGCTTTAGCGTGCCGTTGTCGAGTGCGGAGCGTCTCCGCAAGTGAGGCCCCGAATTTCTTGCGGGCGTAGGTCGTGGAAGGCATGGGTCCTGAGTTGATGATCTGCTGCCGCTGACGAATGGGTAGTGGTCGTAGCTTCTTGACGATGGACGTGGCGCGCTTCGCTGCCAGTCGTCGTCGTGTCTGGTGTGTTCGTCGTCGGGTGGTGGCCTTGCCTCCGCGGTCGATGCCGAGGTCCCGTCCCTCCACCGCCTTCGCAATAGGGACTCCTAGCTCATGGAGCCTTGCAATTGCATCGTTGGTGGCCCCGGGGGAGGGGAGGGGGGGCTCGTAAACAGGATAGACCTGTTGGCCATGATCAAGTGATGCTCCGAGAGCTCTATGAAGATGCTGCGGGTGGCGGAGACTATGCGGTCGGCGATATTGGATCTGGTGCCGACGCACTTGATGCTGATGTCGTCGAACCAAGCCCGCGGCATGCACGTGGGTGATGACGTCGTGAGACCCTCGAGCACTACGTGCACCACCGTTCGTGCCAAGTTGTTGGGGTGTCGCGAGCCTGCCAATAGTGACCGTCGTGCCCTGTGGTACGGAGTACGCCCCGTTCTGGCGGAACACCCGCGCAACAGTGTGCATCTGCCGCGCCGTGGCCAAGATTCTCGGCGGGAGCTTGAACCTGGCGGCGGCTTTGCCGATGCCGTGGTAGAGCAGTGAGTCATAGAACCCTTGTATGTCCACCAATCTCGCACCATGCACAACACCTAGCTCATGAGTCACTTCGTCGGAGATTGTGCGGCACAGCGCCTCTCGTAAACAAGAGTTGCCCGCAACTGCCGCACCCCACTTAGATTGCGTAGTTCGTACCCAGTCGCGTACTTGGAATCTGTTGAGTAGTTCTCAGCATCTGCAGAACCACGCGGGATGCGCGGTCTCCTTTCTGCTTGGGCTGTAGCATTGTGATCGCCAGCATGCATTGCCACGGAAAGCCGAGCTTGGCCTCGCACAGGTTGTAGAGATGAGCCAGTGCTTGCCGCCCCGCAGGTGGCAGTCGTCTGGCGTCCGTCATGACCGCCTTGTCCGCTCCCCGACCTTTGTCTGGTTCGCCCTGCAGCGCGCGGTCGAGGTCCTCCAACGTCCATACAGGCATGCCCTCCTCGATCGCTGCCGCCTTGACCTCCTAATCAGGCTGATGATTTGGTCGTCCGTAGTGGTGTCCGTGTGTCACAGCTGGGTGAACTGCGCGGCCTTGGCGTCGATTTTCTCCGTAGCTGCGAAGTGCTTGGTGCCGTGGGCGTCGATCAGCTCATCCTCGAACCTGGGCTGCTCCTTCGTGATGCGGTGGATGGTGCCAGGGGAGGTCTTGGCCATGTCGCAGACCCATTGGGCGTAATCGTGGTTGCTGGCTCGGATATCGCGTCGTAGGATCCACTGCTTCTCTTGAGTCGCCTGGGCGGCCATGCCCTTGAGGATGTCGTGGTCGAGGACAGTGATATCCAGTAGTCTGTCCTTCCATAGTTGTCCGTGCAGGGCAGCTCGAGCTGACTCGTGGCGCCCTGATGGGGGGATGCCCCGATGGGCGAGGCGTCGGCAGCTATCGGCGATGGCTCGCCGTTGCTGCTCGCCTCGTTGTCGGGTGGGGGGTGTGTCGTAGTGGCCTAGAGCTGTAGCTGTACTGCTCCACCAGTCAGCGTATTGGTTGGCGTAACGTGGTCGTCGGTGTCCGCAGGTGGCCGAGCTGGTCCAATTGTACTCGTAACCCTTGCCGCGCCCCAAGAACTTCTGTCGGTCGTCCTCGCTGATGCCGTAGGCGCCGCAGAAGAAGGCTTCCATGGTGTGCACGAAGGCGGCGTAGGCATGGCCCAGGTTGTCCGCGGCCTGCGGATCTGCTCGGTAACTGATGCTGTCTTTGATGTATGTGGGCGCCGTCGTGTGTGCTGGTGGTTGGAGCGCTGCCAGACGTCGCCGCTCCTCCTCCATCGTGGTTGCGCTCCCCGGCGTAGCGCTGGGGGGCCTAGGCGTTCCCGCTGTGGGGGCCGCGGAGGAGGGGCAAGCTGAGGGCAGGTCGTGCTCGTTGGCGTGTTGGGGGTCGTGGAACGGGTCTCTGTCGGTCGTCTCCAGCTCTGGTGGGAGGTGCTCGCCGGCTGCTGCGATGTCAGGGTCGAGGTCGAGGTGTGCGAAGGGGTCGCCCTCGTCAAAACCTGTGGCGGGAACAGTCCATCCGCTCGGAGTGAGGGCTTCCCATCGCTTGTTGAGCTCGTTGTGGTCGTCGCAGACAGGCCTAGGTGGTTGTGGTCTTGGTCGTGGTCGTGGTGGTCGCCCCGCTTCGGTGGCTTCGCGTGGGCGTCGCTGTCTCTTGCTGTCAGGGTCAGGTCGTCGGGCAGGAAGCCGCGGGTGGTTGAAGTTGGAGGGGAGTCGAAATTGTCGTGCCCAGCATTCCTGCGCGGCTCCGTGAAGTCGGATGACCTGGCCAAGGTGCGGCTTCCACGGGACGTCCGCACACGTGGTGGTGCTCACGAAGTGGGGCGCTGCGTGTGGGCTGAGAAGTGCGTAGTCAATGATGGAAGGTGTGGCGCCCTTCATGGCGCATGTGAAGCTGCCGTCTGGCACGCTGGCTATGGTGGCGGCGCCGAATGCGGTAGGCCAGCCAGAACGCCAGAGTGTCTCTGGCGAAACGTTGAAGCCGCCTGTCACGATCCACGGGTAGGAGGTCGTCCGCAAGAAGCTGCCCAGGCTGCTGAGCTTCCTCGCGTTCACCCCCACGCGCAGGGAGGAAACGTGGTCCAAGTAGAGCGGGATGATCAGGATGCTGTAGCCCTTCGTGTGCCAGAGCATGGGCACCCAGTCGTAGAAATCCACTGCCCCTCCAGTAGGACTGCAGCACGACGTAGCGGGCGTTGTCTACCCTGGCGCGGGAAGCCCCCGAACAGTGGTCTGGAGGTCGTCGCGGGCGCCCACGCACATACCCCCGCGCGCGCCCCGCGTGGAGTTACGTGAAGACAGCGCCGCCGAGAAACACGTCTCGAGGCCCAGCGCGCTCAAGTGGCGCTCCACGTCGGTGATGCTGCCCATGTCTAGGTGCGTCTCCTGAATTAGGTAGCCGTGGAAGTCGCGCCGCAGCAAGGACCCCTCGATCCACTTCAGCGCCGTCGGTCCCCACTGCATGATGCTGCCGCAAAATAAATCCCTGTGCTCCACCGCGGTCTCCTGGTGGGCAGGGCTTCGCCTTCAGGCGGCGGCGGTGCTGGAGGCGGCGGCGCCCTTGTCGCTGCCCTTCTGGGTGACCACGAGCTGCCTGGCCGCCTCCTGCATCACCCGCTGCGCGCGCTTCTCCTCGAACTTCTTGGCCGAGATCTCCGCGGCTGCGGCGGAGCTCACCTCTGTGGCCCCAGCATCTTCTGCGGTGGGTGGAGTAGCTGAGGCCCCTGGTGTCGCAGCCTGCGTCGTCGTCGCACCCGAAGCCGAGGCTGGTGCAGCGGCTGCAGTAGCTGCTCCATCGGGTGGCTTCCGCTTCTTCGCCCTCCGCTCATTGATCGCCTCGTGGATGCGCCTCGCGCTGTCCAGGCGCGCCTTGATCTCGTCGCCCCGCTCCGCGAACTGGTTCTTGTAGCTGTTGAGCTCGCCCAGCACCCTCGCAAGGTCCGCCTTCTCGGTGTACTCTATGCCGTCCAGCCCGTCGAGGTTCTCGAACAGGGCTGGATCCCATGAGAGCGTGCAGGCTGCCTCTTTGTCCTCACCTCCCACCTGCTTCGAGAAGGCCGCTGCTGCATCGCGTCGCTGTTGTTCGGCTCGTGCCAGGGCCAGCGCCGCCGTCGCCTCCTTCTCACGTGCTGCTGCCAGCCGTTCCTCGCAGACCAGGACCTGGTTCACCGCCTGCTCATGGCGGTAGCTGGCGTCCTTCCAAGCACTGGATGCCTTCTTCACCAGCTCGTCGTGGGCGGGCTCCTTGGCAGCAGGCCCTTGGTGTGGCTGGAGTGCCGCTGCCGCTGGAGCAGCGAGCTGCGGGGAGGGTGAGCCCGCTGCCAAGGGGGTGATCAGCTGCTGCAGCGCCGTCGCGTCCACGGTCACCATCGCTGGCTGCCGGGGCTGCACTCCTGCGGGCTGCTGCTGCTGCTGCTGCTGGTGCTGGGGCTGGTGGCTCGGGGTGGCGACCTCCGATCCGCAGCGCCCGCATCTGTTCTGGCGGGCCTTCAACTTGTCGTCCCAGTCCCAGCCGCAAGTGCTCCAGCCGAACCTCTGTCCCTTCTTGCCTCCCATGGCGGGGGGGGAGGGGGGGGTGCACGGGTGTTCGTCACCGCCAACCGGCCGCTGCTACGGCGGCGCCGCGCGGTGTGCCCCAAGCGCCTCGGGCAGGCCCCCGTGCTGCGCTTGAGAAGAGGAGGAGGAGGAGGAGGAGGAGGAGGAGGAGGAGGAGGAGGAGGAGGAGGAGGAGGAGGAGGAGGAGGAGGAGGAGGAGGAGGAGGAGGAGGAGGAGGAGGAGGAGGAGGAGGAGGAGAGAAGGAGGAGGACGAAGAGGAGGAGGAGGAGGGAGGAGGAGGAGGAGGAGGAGGAGGAGGAATATCAGGAGGGGGAGGAAAGAGTGGGAGGGGGCAGAGGGAAAAGGAGGGAAAGGGGATGGGGGGGATGAGGAGCACTGCGCTGAAACAGCATGCGCGCAACTGGGCAAGAGGGATGGTGTGAGGAAAACGGCCGCAGCGGAAAGAGAACGACTGGGACGAATGGCCTCCTCAACAAGTGCGCACTCTGAATGCTACTCTTCTTTCTCCCCTGACCGCGTCCGGGGGGGTAACCCACCCTCACCGCACTCTGTTATTGTACACTATAGTTTTCGAAAGGTGCAATGTCATGCCGTGTCCTAAGGTTCGCTTGGCACTCCGATTGTTTTTGGTGTTTCAAAATGGTGCTCCCGCTGCAGCGTGGGCCTCATTTTCGGATCAGCAATTGTTCCCGTTGTTCAGAATGGCTCTCTGGCCCCAGCGCGGGACACTTTTCTGGGCCCGAGTCCTTCTTCATCGTTGTCGCCCCCCTCATTTCCACTTCTCCGCCCCACCCTGGTCCTCCTAATCCTCCCGCTCCTTCCACTCCAGTTCCTGCTGCTGCTGTTCGTCCTCGTCCTTCTCCTCCTCCGCCTCCTCCTTCCTCCTCCTCCTTTTCCTCCTGCACATACTGCTGCTCATCCGCCACTTCCTCCTCCTCCTCCTCCTCCTCCTCCTCCTCCTCCTCCTCCTCCTCCTCCTCCTCCTCCTCCTCCCCCTCCTCCCCCTCCTCCTGTGCACGCAGCTCCTATTTTCCGATGACGCATAACACGATTGGGTTTTTCTGGGAGTTCCAGGTCCGCTATGAGACGCGTCCGCGGGTAGAGAACAACACAGCGCAATGAAAAGGGATGGGAGGGAGGGGTAGAACGCGGGCGCAACTAGCTTGTCCTCCCCCTCTCATTCCCCATCCTCCTCCTCTTTCTTCCTCTCTCCCCGGTCTCCTTACTTCCTCCCCCCTCACTCCCCCCTGTCGTCCTCCTTATACATGGCCCCTCTCTCAAGCCACCAGACGTATCGTTAGGTCTCAAACCACCAGCCGTTTGGACCGAGACGTCTGCGCCGAGAGCGAGTACGAAGCTGACCTCACCAGCAAACACACGGATGGACGTGGGCACCGACTGGAAGGCGTCCGCAGGGTAACGAACGCCCACAGGCTAACGAAGATGAGCGGCCGCCAGCGGCGGCAGCGGGCAGTACGGCAAAGACGACGGAAACGCCGCAGTCGACGCCGAGGCCGCACCAACACCAATCGGAATCACCCGAAATCCCGTCAGCCCGCTCGACCCGAGCCTCCACCCCCCCGGGAGCGGCTTCCTCCCTTCGGAGGGACGCCTCGTGGCGTTCTCGGATCGGCTACACGCAGGAGTGACCCTGTGTGAGAGTGAAGGGGCCCTGGGACACACAAATAAATACACACACAAATGCCAAGATTCCCTATATTTTCTGGGTTTTTGTCTTCCCCCCCCACTTCCCATATTTTCCCATACTTTCGGGGAAATTGACGATTCATTGTGTCTGTGTCTCTTTCCATCCTGAGAGAGTGACCTTCGGTGCGCGACTTTTTGGGGGCCGCGGGGGGACCAGTCCTGGGCGCGCAAGCGGTTGCCACTGCCCCGTCCTTGGCCATCCGGGGACCCACCTGTGCCCGCACCCAAAGTCGGAGGTGGACAAACCTCCCTTTAGTTCACCTCTCCCTAGTGAAAGCGGCCCGGGACCGAAACCGACGGACCTGGACCCGCAAAGACGACGGAAGCGGCGCCCTCTCGCGAGCCGAAAACGGCCAATTCCTCAATCGACGTGTCAGGGTAGGAGGTCTGTCCACCCCGGACAAAGGTCCCTCCGGCGAAAGGTCACTCTCGCGCCTGGCCGCTGGGAGCGGGGCGCCCTCGCCGTGGCGCTGCGCACGCGGCCGGCGTCACACGCGCAATTATGCTGGCAGCTGCCCGGGCGGAGGGCGGGCGGGCGGCCTTCTCGGCAGTGGGGCTCTCTCGGAGGCCTGGAAGTGGGCACCAACACCAACACAGGGGCTTGCCTCCACAGGGGGAAGATGATCCTAGCTTTTGGTGCTGGTGGTAACATGTCGGTCGCCTTGGAAGCCAGAATATTACCACCATCACCGAGATTGGGATCTTCTTCTCGGGTCGGGCGAAAGGGGGGGATAGCAAAGGGGGGGGGTGAGAATCAGCTCACGTAGCTGATTTTCCCGGCGCCTCCCGGCGCCGGAGGCGGCTATGTATCGAGGTATGGGCCCCTCGGCGGGGCCGAAGCCAGCTGCATGCAGCAAATTTCGTAGCCCCCCCTTTCCCAATCCCCCCCTTTCGCCCGGCCCGAGAAAAAGGTCACTCTAACGTCTGGCTGATCGGAGCGGGGCGCTCCCGCCATGGCGCTGCGCACGCGCCCGGCGCTTCACACACACACGCGCAATTGTTCCGGCAGCTCCTGCGCGGGCGGAGGGCGGGGTCGGGCGGCCTTCTCTCGGCAGTGGTTGGCGGCGCGCACCAGGGGGTGGAGGGAGGGGGGAAGGGCTTCTCAGGAGGCTGCTCCGGCCTTGCATCTCTAGACAAGGAGGGGGAGGGGCAGGGGTGTTCGAGGGAGGGAGGGGTGAGGCGCCGGCCCTACGTCTATAGATCTAAGGCCCGCGCCCTCTGAGGAGCAGGGGTGCTTCCAAGAAGCCCTCCGCCCTCCTCTCCGCCCCCCTCTGCGCGTGGCTGAAGTGTCAGGAGGAAAAGAAGCACACAGACACAATTAATCGTCGATCCCCCAGAAAATATGGGAAACTATGGGAATTGGGTGGGAAGACAAAAACCCAGAAAATGTGGGAAAATCTGGGGAATCATGTTATTTGTGTGTATCTATTTGTGTGTCCCAGGGCCCCTTCAAAGTGGGGCTCTCTCTCTCTCGCCGCGGCGCCGCGCAGCGGCTCCTGCCGAGCACGGCGGGCAGCTGCGCGCGAGGCCGCTTCCCGAGCCGACCTGCCGCAGGCCTAGCCCTGCGGATGCCATGGCAGTGGGCGCTCTGACGAGCCTGTCATTTGAGAGTAAAGATGTGCTACACATGCGTAGGACATGTTCTAACAATGTTTCAAGCATGCTCTTTGGCATGTCTTAATCGTGCATGAAACATCTTTTAGACATCTGGAAATTAACAGGGGATATGTCGACCCCTATCCCAGGCTTCGTGGGGTTTCCGAATGGGCCAGAAATTTGGGGCCTAACCCTGGGATATACGATGGGGGGGTGTCCATTCTCGATAGGGGTGCGTCCGAATAGCCCCCTTGGGGTGTATCCCAGGGTTTTCCCATTCTTCTGAGCGGCCAGACTTTTCGGGCGAAACTCGGGGATTGGGGGAGAAACATCGCCCGCGAGAAATGAGTTGGCAACATGCTTCCTCTCCGTTAATCGACTTCCACAAGCCTAACCACATGTGCAGCAACTACACGGATGGAGGGCGGTCTCTGTCCAGAACCGGCCTCTCGCTCAAGACCGCGTGAGAAAGATAGCCGACATCTGACAACTGTGCGAAATCTGCGCGGATGAACGGCGGTCTCTTTTTCAAGATGGGGTTATGGCTTGGGAGCTCCCTGGGCTCTATGACAGCACATTGTCGCATGCCGTATGGTTCGGAGGATGGATGGTGATTCCTTTCCAAGCGGAGCGCCCGCATTGCGGGCTCAGCAGCATATTGTCAGTGAAACACAATGTTTGATCTATGAGCGGATAGGCACGCACACCGTCCCGCCACGATCACCACATGGGAACACCCGAACAATCGTGGGCATACATGTCTCAATCGCGTCCCCGTCTATTCGGGCACATATTTCACCCGGATCCTGCATCGGCACAATCCTCACAAGGATCGTGCCTAACAGAGAGCTCCGCCGACGGCCCCGGAGACAATATTCGCATAGCAGCACATTCCTCACACGGATTGTGCTCCGCAGGTGTCTGCACTTACAGCACCGGAGGGAAGCTTTGCATAACTTCGCCCCGCTCGCTTCGGCACAACAACCCTCACACGGATCGTGCCCCGCACGGGTGTCCACCTACGGCCTCGGAGACCAGGTCCGCATCCCGCCCCCCCGCATAGGTCGGCCCACCTCTCACGCGAACCGTGCCCCGTAGGGAGCTCCGCCGACGGTCCCAGACAAGGTTTGCATAGCGCCCCCCCCCCCCCCCCGCCCGTTGCAGCACACCCCTCACGCGGATCGTGCCCCGCAGGGAGCACCTCCCACAGCCCCAGGGAAAAAAATCGCACATCTTCCACTCGCCAATTTTGCACACCCCTCACGCGGACCGTGTCTCTGAAGGAGCTCCACCTATGGCTCCCATAAGCACCTTCGCATGGTGCCCCCCCGCCCATGTCGGCACATGCCTCAGACGGGTCGTGCCCCACAGGGAGCTCCACCTGTGCCCTCAGTGGGCGTGTTCGTGTGGGGAGACCCTGGCCCTCCTCCACCTCATCTCCACGGCGAAGCGCCCCGAACCCATGTCCGTTGGCAACCAAAGCGTGGTCGACGGGTTTCAGGCTCTCCTGGCTGGTGAGTGGCTCTCCACCACTGGCTCCCAGAGCGATCTGGGGGCCCAGGTTCACCGAGCCGTCCTGGCGAACCACCTGACACAGACCGGGTGGAAGAGGTCGCCAGCCACCTGGGCCGACGTGGCACTGACGCGGAGCTGATCTCGGCCACGGCCGAATGCTTCAACCGTCAGGCCGACGAGC